TCGATGCTGATTGGCCAGGAAGCCGGCTTCCCAGCCAATCAGCATGGAGCCAGCTTCCCGGGCAACCAAGATGTCAGGTGGAGGATAATGACACGCCGCCCGGCTTCCTGATTCACCTGGGAGCTGGCTCTATGCTAGCGGAAGTACCGTTATCAGTAGCTTTCTTACTGGTCGGAAAGCTGACCAATGAGAAAGCCAGGCGTCGAGTCATTACCCGCCCCCCGGCTTCCTGATTGGCCAGAAAGCCGGCTCCATGCTTCCACATCACCTGGTGACGAGGTAGCATGGGGACAGCTTCCCTACTAATCGGGAAGCCGGGTGGTGAATATTTATATCCCGCCTGCCTACCCGGCTAATCAGGAAGCCAGGTGGCGAGTCATTACACACCACCAGGCTTCCTTAATGTGACTTCCGGTATCGGTATTTGATATCAGCGAGTACCAAAAGATAAAGATTAGTACTTGCAATCGATACCGAAAAACCGGTATCTGTGCATCCCTAATATTTATATACACTATATTGCCAAAAGTATTGGGATGCCTGCCTTTACACGCACATGAACTTTAATGGCATCCCAGTCTTAGTAGGGTTCAAAACTAAGTTGGCCCACCCTTTGCAGCTATAACAGCTTCAACTCTTCTGGGGAGGTGTCCACAAGGTTTAGGAGTGTGTCTATGGGAATGTTTGCCCATTCTTCCAGAAGCACATTTATGAGGTCAGGTACTGATGTTGGACGAGTAGGCCTGGCTTGCAGTCTCCGCTCTAATTCATCCAAAAGGTGTTCTATCGGGTTGAGGTCAGGACTCTGTGCAGGCCAATCAAGTTCCTCCACCCCAAACTCCCTCATCCATGTCTTTATGGACCTTGCATTGTGCACCGGTTGGAACAGGAAGGGGCCATCCCCAAACTGTTCCCACAAAGTTGGGAACATGAAATTGTCCAAAATGTCTTGGTATGCTGATGCCTTAATAGTTCCCTTCAGTTGAACTAAGGGGCCAAGCCCAACCCCTGAAAAACAACCCCACACCATAATCCCCCATCCACCAAACTTTACACTTGGCACAATGCAGTCAGGAAAGTACCGTTCTCCTGGCAACTGCCAAACCCAGACACGTCCATTGGATTGCCAGACAGGGAAGCGTGATTCGTCACTCCAGAGAACACGTCTCCACTTCTCTAGAGTCCAGTGGCGGCATGCTTAACACCACTGCAGCCGGCGCTTTGCATTGCACTTGGTGATGTAAGGTTTGGATGCAGCTGCTCGCCCATGGAAACCCATTCCATGAAGCTCTCTACGCACTGTTGTTGTGCCAATCTGAAGGGCACACAAAGTTTGTAGGTCTATAGCTATTGACTCTGCAGACAGTTGGCGACTTCTGCGCACTGTGATCCCGCTCTGTCATTTTACATGGCTGAGTTGCTGTTGTTCCCAGTTGCTTCCACTTTGTTATAATACCACTAACAGTTGACTGTGGAATATTTAGTAGCAAGGAAAAACAACTTTTGGCATATACCCTGTTTCCCCGAAAATAAGACCTACCCCGAAAATAAGACCTAGTACTATTTTCAGGAATTGCTAAAATATAAGACCTACCCTGAAAATAAGACCTAGTTGTGACTTTTCCCAGGGCCGGTGGTGGCATAAGGGGGAACCTGAAGATAGGCGGGAGAGAATCAGCGTTGCCAACTAAGCCAGCGCTAGAGGAAGCGAGGCGGCACCAGAGGGAGCAGAGCCTCCGCTGATGCCTCTACTATAGAGCCGACTCCAGTCACAGGCGGAGTGATATCGAATGCACTACGCATGTGAGGAATTGATGGTGAAAGCGCGCTTCGCTCATTCTGGCCAGAGATTGGTTAGCAAATTGCTCTTGGAAAGGTACGGCACCCCTGATTGCCCTGATCACCTTTTTTTTGTATATGAATACATGTAGACTTTTCTACATGAATAAGTGTGGATCGTTGTACATTAAAAAAAAATAAAAATAAGACCTACCCCGAAAATAAGACCTAGTGTGTTTTTTTGAGCCCCAAAAAAATATAAGACAGTGTCTTATTTTCGGGGAAACACGGTATCTACTGCTTACTAGCAGTAGATATATGCAAAGAAAAAGGAGGGTTTAGAAACCCTTTAAGTAGGGGAACACACAGTACAGATTTCGGGAGGTGATGAGCCTTTCCTTCCACCCGGTATCCCTCGAACAGCTGATCGAAAGAGCAGGTTGCAAATTCTCGGCGGAAAACAGCTGGCAGCCAATCAGCTAGCTGGTTGCCACTATCAGAATAAATTGCAAACCGCGAGGGTATCGTACATCAACACTTGCAAGCTTTAATTGAAGAATCTGTTCTATTTTTTTCATTCAGCCTATGGGTTGAACAAAAAACACTATTATATATACGTGTGTGTGTGTGTGTGTGTGTTTTTCTGTATACTGTATATGTAGCAGCCCAGCGTTCATGTCCACCCACATATATGCATTTTGGCAGTGGGAAGGGAGGTGAACACGTTAAAGCTTACATGAGATTTCAGTTATTGGGTTTATTCAGATATTTTGACAAATAACATCCTCCATCACCCTGTTCATATTTGTTACTGGTTTTAGATGAAACAGGAAGCTGGGATTCCATATGATCACCTACACCTCCGATACTTAATTATCCATCGCAGTCAGTTCCTGATCATGACATATTTACACTGTCATTGCCCTTGTTATTAAACACACTGCAGCTCCCCCCACGCTGCAGCAATGCTCACTCTTATAAGCCAATGAGGGGCGGTCTATCCGCTGAGGCCACGCCCCCTGCCCATTCGCCGCTCTCATGCACCTGATGACTGACGCCCACTGGGTGGGCGTGGCGCCCAGCAACTCTCTGGGCGTGGGCTGCACACATTGTTCCAGAGCAGAGAGCAGGCGATGCAGCAGCTGCATAGACAGCTACGCCCTGATCGTCCATTCATCTGAACGCTGCAGACCCCCATCGCATGGGATCGCCCAGGGTGGCTTCCGATCTTTCATATCTGGCTGGATCTGGCAGACCTCTTGCATCGTTTAAACTTTTTCACTCATCCACTTGTAAGATCTTCAATGCCAAGGACTGAATGTGTCTTTAGTGTGGTTGATCGCTTGCTGCAAGCCTTTGGTAAGTCATTTGGATATCTGTGGGTGTTGATCGGACTTCATCTGTTCGGTGCCTCCATCCCTCTCCTCCCTTTTTTTTAATAATTTATTCTACATTCGCATTAATTGATGTGTAGTGATTGCCGTCTTTTTACCATTCCGTGTGCAGCATCAGCACATGGAAAATTGTTTACCATGATGGCCAAATTGGCATTGTATGTATGGGCTGATTAGTCTTGCATCTCCAGGGAGGAGATCTGCATGAATGAGCTCATACAGTCCTGGTGTGACCTGTCTCGCATCATCAAAGTGTATTGGCTGTGGTGTGATTTCATTGGGGTCAGCCAACTAAACCGTTGGTACTGTAGCATCTTCATGGCTCATCCCAGTTGGCTTGATATCATAGTTACTGTATAGCTCAATCCACCTGACAGTTGCAGAGCATTTCTCCAGTATATGAATGCAGTAGAATCTAGAAAAGACTAGCGTAAGATAGATGTAAACACTGACGGAGTCATAGTTGGCTACAGAGCTTATACCTTATACTCTTGTTATACCTAATTGACATTTTCAACTTAAAAATACTCCATCTTTTTTCCTTCCTTTATTGTATCTTAATGTTTCTGCAGCCTTTTTGCATGAACTCTTTGTCTACATACATTCACACATGTCTTTGCTGGCTGCATGTCATTACTCAGGCCAGGCTTCCTGATGGTGACAACCGTGGGCCTTACTGGGATAATGAGCAACATGACCATTTGTAGTCTCCACCCCAGCCCCCATTTACACCTGAGCGTATTTTCGTTTGTTTCCCAAAGCGCATCAACACGAAGAGCCCCATTATTTTCAGTGGTGCCTTATACCCATCACCTGTAGCTCGAGAAAGTACATAATGTTCTTTTCAATCAGGATCAGCCTCATACTTCAGTGGGTCTACGCGATTTTTCATCTAACGACCATCTCCTCCTCCATGCAGCTTTCCATTGACAAAATGAAAATGCTCAAAAATGAAAAAAAGCGCAAAAAACTTCCAAATCGACTGAAAATGGTTTATGCTCAAGTGTGAATGGAGGCTGTAGAGCATGTGACAGGGTGACAATGTAGGAGGGGCAGTTGGGAAAGAGAGATGGAGCGTTGTCACTTTAAAAACCAGAGACTTTAAAAATGACTAGGTATTTAAAATTACAATAACATGTTGAAGGTTTTATGGGATTTTAGTAACTGGGGTTTTATATACTTTTACCTAATATTAAAGAGCAATTATGAACATTATCTGATTTTCTGGAAAAAAAATCCTTATTTTTGTGGCTGTTCTATCAAATTTGGTTAATTTGTCATGTGGGCAACAAGTTTGAATGAAACTTGCTCTCTCAGCCGGTCTGTATCGTGTTGGTTATGTCGAGTTGGAAATCTGGTTGTATGATAAACTACGTTTGTTGTGTGTATAGCTGTGTGATGCTGAAGTTGAGATGCAAAATCAGGTCCTGTGAGTCAATACATCCAGGCTAAAAATGAGGATGCTGTGCTAGATCAGGGGAATTGTTATTGTTACCGTCAAATTAAAGACGAACTCTGGGTAAAAATGTTTTCAACCCTTGCAGTGTGGCTACCCCCAAACTGCAAGGGTTAAGTGCTCGTTGTTGCCTAGTGTAGAAAAATAGTTATCCTTGCCCGATCCTCCTAACCGACCGGCTTTTAGACCCGGTCCCTGGACCCTCTCTCCCCCCCCCTGCTGCAGTGGTCTAAGGTCCTAGGGTCATCACTCTCTCTATATACAGCGTATAGGATGTGAGGACGCTGAGAGACATTAACATCGCTGGAGCAGAGGAGGAGACAGGCAGGAGGGAGTGATTTCACAGTCAGACAGTTTGGAGGACTGGCTAAGTATAATTTTGTTATGTTTGACTCTAGGCAAAATTTGGCACTTAACTCTTGCAGTGCCCGATGTTAAAAATTTAAACCTTACACAGGTCATGTACAGTCTTGTACCCAACAGTCATGTACATTGAGAGATCATCTGCCCGAGTGTGTATTAACTGCGCCCCGGGCTGTTTTCAGTCCCTGGGCCCTCCACCAGTTTAATTGGATCATGCCTAAGGGTCAATGTACACAGACATTTGTGTTTTTGCTTGACATGGGTTGGTGAAATAGAATTTTTAATTGGATCTTACGTAGCGGTATATGCTTAATTGGTGGCAGGGTTACAGTGGGTGCACTGCAAGTGTTTAATTGTTCATTTATGCCTGGGGTACCTGGGTAAGGGGCATTTTCTTACCTGATCCCCGCAAGCTCCAAGACCGGCAACCCCCCCACTATACTTCAGCAGTCGAAGGTCCACTGATATAATCAAGCGCAATGCAGAGCCCATAGCCCTGTATTATATGTGAGGGCACTGGGGGACAGTCCACAAGATGAGGTGTAGGAGGGACGGGTTGAACGCAGACTGCCGGGGTAAGTAAAACTGCTTTACCCCAATACCCAGACGTGCATTTAGCCTTTGCAGTGTAAGGGCAGCTACTATGGAAGGGGAGTTTTTTTTTTTCTCCTGTAGATCGGCTTTAGAGCAAAACTCTAGGCAACCAAAAAGTATTCATTCCTTTAAAAAATTGAAATGCAGAACGTTTTTTTGCATTCCCTCCCCCCCATTCTGTTCTGCCCTCATTATAATCTGCCACTGGTCTAACCCTGTGCATCATGCTGACCAATTACACAGGTTACCCCAAAGGAGGGAAGAAAACACACCAAGTGCATCACGGAAGCAAAGGATGAGACGCTACACTCAAAGTAAGGGCCCAGTTTTGAAATTTTTTCAGATAAAACAGCTTGATGGCATAGTCCTCTGGTACCCAACTTACAGGCCAAAGTGTAAGACACTTTGCAGCCCTTGGACGTCAGCAGCGGTAGTGTTGATTTAGTAAAATTGGGTGTAATAGCAGACTGTGCGGCCCTTTGGTGACATGAGGGGCTACAGCTGAGGCTCCCTATACCTTTTAAGTTGACTACCACTGGTGCAGCCAATGCGCTTTTGGGGTCAAACAGTGCCCTCCTCAGGGCTTGCAATGTAGGGGTGGAGATAGGACTCCAGTAAAAAGTGTTACGATAATAAATATGGCAATGTTTACAGTCACACGCCCCAAAGGTGGGTATAAGCTCTTACTGATTCACTTTTTTTCCTTAATTTGACCACATGAAAGATAAATTGGCCAAGATTAAAAAAAAAAATAGGAAAGGATGTATGGATCCCCTTCTGACTGGGCAGTGTGAAAGGGACTAAGAAATTCCATGCAGCCATTGTGGAGTGCATGATAAAAGCGACAGGAGATTAGCAGCACTCCGATACAATGAAGGGGAAACCAAGTACTTTATTAAAAAAAAGCAATGGCGATGCATTTACGATTCATGGTGCTTTAGCAAATTTAGCCCTATTCACACCGGAACCTTTTGTTGTGTCTCATGAAGAACGACAATGATCAACGTGAAGAATCCCATTGTTTTCAGTGGTGCCCATTCACACATGAGCATGGTATGGATTGTAGCTTGAAGCTCAAAAACATACATGAGCTTCTTTTACACTGGGTTCACACCTTAGCGTACTGGAAACACGCGTTTCTTACCGCGCGGTTTTATCGCGATTTGCGGTAAAAGAAACACGCGTCAAACGCGAGTTTCCGAGGAAGTATCCGGCTGATAACAGCGGGATACGGGCGTTTTACCACGCGATGGAACGGGCGGTAAAACGCGCAGGTGAGAACCATGCCCATAGGCAAACATGGGTTTTCACCTGTTGCGCGTTTTACCGAGCGTAGGAACGCGCGGTAAAACGCTCAGGTGTGAACGGGGCCTTAAGAAACACTTCAAAATCACCTTAAAAGCATTCGTTAGCAATATCACCTGGACGAATTTCGGCGATTGACAGAACAGATTTTCATTTGCGTGTGAGCAGTGTTCTTGTTGCGATTTTTATTTTTTTTTATATTTTCTCCGTATGATTCAATACAAATTTTGTAGCCTGCTGGAAAGACAAAAGTCGAACGGTTGTACAGTAATTGCCATGATCATATGAAATCGCAGACCAAAATCGTGCGATAATCGTAAGGTGTATGTTCACCTTTACGCTATGGGCTGGCGGATGTAAACAGACTTGCGTCTGTTTACATCTGATCCACCGAGTCTGTCTAGGGCTGAAAATAAAAGAGGATGGATGAATCTCCTACTGTGAGTTTTTTACTGATTGGCTGCAAGCACAGTTCGGCCCAGGAATTTCCTACATGTTCCCATGGCAAATGTTGATCTAACAATCCTCTCTGTCAAGGGGATAGGGTCACCAACAGATTTAATTTTTAACCGATTCCTGCTGAATTGGCCAAAATTTGCTCCGTACGTATCAGCGCGTTTGGGATGCCATTGAAATGAATGGCACTGCAAATCTACCTCCCGCAGCAGAGTTTGTTGGGCCGAAACCGGAAATGACTTTTTTTTTTACTTTGTTATTTTTTAAAAATTTTAAATAATTGTATTGTAAGCACATAGTGCCTAAATAGCTCTCACTATTTTCCTCTGAAAGACTACAGGAGGGTATTGTCAGATGTATTTCCGTAAAGTTAGCTATATGTACCTTTTGTATAAACAGTACAACAGCAAAAAGTTTCCAGGCACAATCACAGGCCAGCATGCAAAAAAACTTGTCTCACCGATAAGGTTAAAAACAGAGGTTTAGATACACGTCTTCTGCAGAAAATGTGAAAGCTGCACCTCCTTGCCAAGGCACCTCTATATAGTAGTGCGGCCCTATCTCTAAACTATGAGAGTCTCCATCTTGGAGCACATTTAGCAAAAGATAAAATTGGGTGCAGGCAGGGCCGGATTTACTCCCCCTGCCGCCCCAAGGCCAGGTTCCACAATACGCGCGCGTATTGTGGAACCTGGACACAAGGCAGCTGAGTCACTGCACCAAATCAGTCAAGCAAAACAAATGGCAAACTAACTCATCAATTCGTCACCAGCTTTACAGCAAGGTGCACG